ATATTCAGTCCCATCCCTGCACTGCAGTTCACCATCCTCTTCTTGAGCCAGTGTAACCACGTGAAAGGATATACCATAGGCTTGGCCAGCAAAACAATCTGCATTAAGGTAACAAAAAAGCTAATCCAAAGATTTTAGTTGGAATTACTGTCTTATTTTTAAAGGCAGATTACTACATTTCTGTTACCAGCTTTTCCCTCAAACCCACTCTCTAAACCTAGCTTCTGCAATGCCGTCACCTAACCAGCTCACCCTACGCCTTCTCCTGCCTCTCCCCACAGCTACCCATGCAGTCCCAGGCACCCAACTCAGGGGCTGCCTGCAACTTCTGCCCCATGCAGAGACTGCTGACCCTCTTCTGTTACTGTGATAAAGAAGAGCACACGTAAAGGACACCAACACCATTGATTCTTCATCTTCTTCATGACCTAATGCTGATCCCAAGCCAAGCCATAAGGACAGAAGGACAGAAAGACCTACCTATCAGAAGGCAAGTGTCCTCCCAGTCAGTGCCACTTGCACAGGAAGGGCTAAAAGAGTAACACTGAATTAAGCAGGTGTATAATTAATTGCTCAGAATTTACTAATGTGCAACCTAGGAAGAGCACCAAGGGCTATAAACATTTCAAGATACTTCACAATGTTATATCACCGCATTAGAGAGTACTAGCATTTTAACACTTGTTTAAGAAAATAAAATACAACTGAGCAGTAGCTTCCTGTAAAGAAATAAATTAGCGCATTGTAATCAGCCACAGTAAATGCAGTACAAACATCTTCATACTGCAGGTACACAGAGCCAAGCCTACGCATGTTTTTACTCTTCTGCTGCATTTGCAGAATGATCCAAACCTGGAAGGTTTAATGTGCTCCTGACATTAAGGTGCAGCTCTGAGGTTCACCAGATGTGGCTTCAGCTCCTTTCCCTGCCTCTGCCTATATGTACGATGCACGCGTGACCACAGGCCTATCACCTACCTGCGCTGCGTCTCAGCTCTGTAGCAGGAACACACAGTGAAAACGTTCCTTTGGTTGCCAAGATTAATTCACATTGTGCTTACAGAGCGGGCAAAATGGTTCCACCACAGAGGGAGGCAATCTGACATTTCAGAAAAGAGAAACCACACTAAAGAGCTTACAACACAAGGGCTCAACCTCGGCAGACTCCGAGTACCCTCTTTTTCCACTAAAAATCATCTCCTGCAGACAGCGGCTCCCTCAGCCCTTCAGGGGTACGTTACCTTCACCACTCAATGCCACATCAATGTGATTTGTTTAACCACCAGCAGCAGCTCCACCTGCGCGCAGGATGAGGCTCTGGCACTAAAGCTGGGTCTGAATCCGGCCCTGGAGCTTTTCAACTCGGAGGAGAGCTCCTTGCAACAGGCTGAAGGAATCCTCCCGCTGTGCCCGAGGACCGTGTGCCTAACGAGGCTGTATCCCAACTCATATTTTAGCTTGGCAGGTCTGGTGCTCCTTTCATCTTTTGCTTCAGGTAGCTCTCTTTAATTAATAACATTTCTGTGTCGGCACAGGGAACTTTCCACCCAGAATGAATGGCCTTCTCTCATTAGACCCACGACTGTCATGATGTATTCAAGAGCAGGAGTGTGATTCATTCCCTTGTCTGGGAATGAGGGGTGCTGCTGGGGGGTGGAGGGGAGAAGTCTCTGTAATGAGTGACTGATATTTGCTGAAGCTGAGATGCGACTGTCGGCTTGAACTGCCTTGTCAGGACATGCCTTCAGAAAGGTGATGTTCCTACTCAAGAGGTTTTCCTCATTAAAGAAATTGCATCTTAACAAGAGGGAAAGGGAGGGGCGGCAGGAGAGCTGCTGTCTCCCCGACTCCAGCCTGGCTCAGAGCTGAAAGCCGGCAGCCAGCAGCACTCTGTTTCGGAGCCCTCTCTCTAGCAGCAGCAGCCAAATCTTCCAGCAGTGACTTTCCTTTGTGTTTTGCTCCATGACCACGGCAAGGCTATGAGTAGCAGGGCAGAGGACCTCAACTGGTGCTCCACGAGCCCTTCCCAGGTGCAGGTCTGTTTCCTGGCTCCTTGTGACTGGTGCTCAGAGGGAAGCCACGCAGAAAGAGCGCTGTGATCTACCAGGAAAGCTCAGATGTTCGAGAAAAGTCAAGTGCGGAGCCACAAAGCACCTCATTCTCTGAAGACTCCTAAGACAAGCAGAGGCTTCATGGGTCCTTTAGCAGCTGAGCGTCTATCTTTACTGCTGCTAGATACCCTCATAAGAGCTCTGCACCTTGGCAAACGCTGTTCCTCTTGCACTTTTCTCTCAGCCGAGTACTATGCATGCTGCAACTCCTGGCTTTGACAGGTTATTTACCCACCTTGTCCCCACATCCACCACTGGATGGTGACAGGCTGGTAGGTCCTCCTCTGTGACCCAGCCCACACCCCAAATTCAATTTGCTCATCTGTGTGCCTCCCGGTGCCCTGGCATCTGCTGGAAGCACCCACAAGCAGACAGGCCTGTCCAGAAGACATCATTCCCCAGCACGTGTAGAACGGCACATGTGGACTGAAGCCAAGCAATGCCCAAGTCATTGCTGGAGAAGCCAGGAACAAAGCTGCACAGTTTTCTACCATCAGCCAAGCTAAGGACAAGGAATTACAAACCGCACAAGAAACTGGTAAGAGGAACACAGCTTGCTCCAGAACTCATCTAGAATCCAGTGGGAGTTTCACCATGCAATGCTTCCAGGAACATGTTCCTCCAAACTTGGACAAGCAGCACCACCTCCCCTCTCTGTCCCAGTACCTTCAGCGCCAAGCGCGTGGACTCCACTTGGTAGAACAGGGCATCAGCACCACTGCAAGTCTTTTAGGGAAGCACAAGGTAACTCCCTGGAATATTTCCTAGATGTTCCAGCTCTCTGAGAATGCATCTCCCTGTCTAAGCAGCCTCGTTTCAGCTCTGCGCCTTCCCTCTTTAAAAAGAGATGCTCAGTTCTGCTTTGCTAAACCCTATTTGGCAATGTGTCTACACGCACGCAAACTTAATTAGTTTAGGAGGGAGACTCGGCATTTGTGGTGACGGATAAAAGTAATGGGAAATGAGACAAGTCAGAGCTGGCAGGGAGTCCTCACTCAAGCCTCATTCACTGGCATGGAGCTAATCAGATGTGACGCTGCACGCTGCTGCACCCAATCGGTGGTGGAGCAGTGCGATGCGCTACTCGCTGAACGGCTGCAGCCGGGCTCCCCGTATCTGTGGTTGGAAACATGAAATGTACTTTCTGCTCTGCCCTGGAGACGCTTCAGGATTGAATTCTGAAGTTAATGGTTTAAAACATTTTTTTAAAAGGAAGAGGGAGAAATGAACCACTCACTGCAGCCTCATGGCCAGGAGTGGAGTGTTCTTTTCCAGCTGACTAGTGAGGCACAGTCCATGCAAAAGACTGCTGCAAATGGTGAATCAAGTATCTGGGCTCCAGAGCTGCGTGTCCTGCTGGCTCAGCTCACCCCACAGTCCCCATGGCTCACCAGAAACAGGGCTCATCTTCACTGTATTTCCCCACTATCAGCCTCTGATGAAAGAGAAAAATGCAGAAGGTTGTCTATTTCATACAGACACTGAGTTATGATGCCATTATCTGGAAACCTTGTTAGCCTGGTGTGAAGGGGATGGAAAGATGGGCTTTGAGACATAGCAAACCACAGTTTATTCCTCACAATCATCACCAAAAGCAGTAAACTGGACTCTCAAAACAACAACAGAGAAGGAAAGCGCCAAGAAAAGAGAAGAGATTGGAAATAGATGTTTAGCACATCCCTGCAGCTGTCTTTGTGCTGGACTCTAACAAACGCTTAAGCACAATTTACAAAGAAAAACACATTAAACCAGTGACAGAAGAATTGGCAATATACTCATGTTCAAGTTCTGGTCATGGCCCCAGCAGAGTCCCAGCCAACTTCTGACTCAAAAGAGCATGGCAAATTCCTCATCTCTACTAGCGCTTGTGCTGCTGCTTCGATCCCCGTATCTCATGCCTCACTAATCATACCATGTGGAAGCAAGGAGCTGCCACTCTACAAAGACCACTCTGCAGGGAAGGAACCGGTGCTGATTGCTCCCTGGCTGTGCGCAGTTTATTTAGGCTTCCAGCTTGTGGAAACCAACGTCACAGTGAGCACCAAGTAACACTACTAACGAGTTGTGGATGTCAGCTTAGCTTCGTATGTGTCAAGTCCAGGCTTTACTGATGTGATAACAACAGGAGCCTTAACCCAGCACTCTGAGGAAATGAAAAGCTGATGCCAGTTTACAGCAATCCAGGTGAATTCAGCGCAGTATGATAATACTCTGCAAATATCTTACAGGTTAGATTAATTTCATTCACTTCTTCAAAATCACTTTCCTGGGTTGCTGGTCTAGCTGTTTACATGGGACAACATGCACATACACCAGCACTTGTAGACCTCAGTGCAGGTCCCCACCTGGAACTCTCTAGATGCCAGCCACCCCACTCAGGAACATGACCTCAGCGATACAAAAGACCAATGAAGCATGTCAGACTTGGCTTGTATTCTTTTCCCAAAGACTACTTTAATTCACATCCAGTTAACGTGCCAAGATGACAGGGACAAAGGATCTGCATGCCAAAGTCAGGTAAAGACTACTGCTTGATTTGAGTGTTCAGAAATGGAATTTCATTTGTATGCTTAGGGATGATCATCCCTTTGGAAAACATGTTGGCTAAAAACAGGAAATATCACAAAGCCCCAGTTTAAACCCTTCTCGGGGTTATGAAAGGATTCATTTGCTATAGAGATTATCCTGGGCAATGATCTGGCACTATGCCTAGCACCTACCTGTCTTCTTAAACAACCCTCCACTCCCAATTATGCACGGCGAACAACGATTTCCCTGAAAAATAAAAACTGGGGACAGTCGGAGGCTTGTAAGGACAAAGATATCCACATTACAGGCAAGCATGGAGCAATAAAGCCCAGAAAAACCTCCCTCCCTTTCCATACTCACATCACTTTCAAATCCCAGTCTCCACAGGTCACAAAAATCGACTTGACGCTGGGATCTAAGAGTCCTTCCTTTGCCATCCATTCGTCGACCCTCTGAAAAGAAGGCAAGAAAAGGGGATGAGTTTTGCAGAGACAGGCCGAGCCAGAGCAGTTAAACTCAGATAAGCCGCTTGCAATCAAGTGAGAAGAAAATTGTGATCTTATCCACCCCTCTCCCTCTCTCTCTTCTCTTTTTGCTTGCCATCTGAACAACAGCACGTTTGGACCTTTGAAGATTTCTGATAGGAGACATCAGGCAACCAGAGCGGAGATGATCTTATCTGGCACCACAGCTGCTCTGCTCACAGAGGGATGGAAGTTGTGCAGCCTTAATGGGACAATACAGCTGTGCTTTTACTTGTCATTCCTGCACTTCTCCTCTCCCTGCACCAAATGGGCTTGTAGGGACCTCAACCTGTCCCCCTTCAGCCAAGAAGAATGCACTTATTTCTTGAAGCACTCCACTGTGATCTGGGCGAGAGCAAGAGAAGCCAAAGCAGGAGGCTCCACAATGGCCCTCCAGGCATCAGGCTGTAAGCTGAAGGGAATGAGGCAGCCAAACAAATCTGAGCAGGAGCTTCTTACTACCTGTTTGAATATCCAGGATAACACAAGCATCCTGGGATGGTGTCCCTCACTCACAGCATTGCTCACACACTCCACAGACAGGATATGGGAGAGAGAGAGAGAGACAAAGAACTGGGTACATCTGAACACTGCAGCAGTCACAGCCAAAGGCAGGCATCCCACCTTCCACTCCCAGGTTTGATCTCTCCTTGTTCCTTACAATTCATTCAGCTTGGGTTTCAAGTGAGCCCATATTCCCAGTAAACTTCCCACAAGAACATATGTTCTGGATCCACTTCACAAATGGGCCACAATGATCTGCAGGATGCACACTCACCTTAGGGAGCAACCAGGCAGAATTAACCTAGGCTAAACCCCCTAAGAAGACATTCATTCCAACTAGGACAGCCCTCCTGGGAGCAACCACCCCAAAGCAGAACACTGCTGGCCCCATGAGCACCTGCACCTCCAGGATCTGGCAGCAAAGCTCCCGCTGCAACCCTGCTGAACTCTTATGTGAGTGCCCATGAAGTGCTGTCTCCATGGAGGATTTTAAAGCCTTTAATTTGATTTCTTCACATAAGCAATTGTTACAATTATTCTGATTAGGAACAATTAGGTAACACAGCAGTGGAAATCCTGACAGAGACAATGCATTGAGCAGCAACCTGCAGCCTGAGAGGGCTCTGCTTGGGGAGGTTTCCTTCATTATTTAACTACCAACAAAAGCTATTGATGGAGAAACACTTCCAAGCTAATTAAGCTCTAAATGCTGTAGGAATTCAACATTAAGCAGATGGCATTATTAGGGCTATATCTGCATTTGCAAATCCTCCAGATTAGATTTTAGAGGCATTTTCCTTCAATGCTACGTGTATTATTTAGCATTTAAATAGGTAGAAAAAAATTAATTTAATAAAATGCTGAGGAAGAGGAAGGAAAAAAGACAGAGCTTCCAGAGCAGTGGTTTCAAGCAACGCCTCGGTCCTTTAAAACTGGTGCAAGGAAGAATCTCCTCTTCTCCTATCTACTGGCAAGAGTTTGGATATCTTGTCAGTACCCTTGACATGAGCAGCTGGAAATGACAGATCAATGGTTCAATACTCTCAGCAGTGTGTCACCGACGTGACAGCAAATGTTATTCTAATGAAGCTGTAATCATAGTCAAATTACGCGGTTCGATTCTCAGCAAGGGGAGGGTGCAGGGAAGGAGATGAAGAGGAGACAACAGGACCAGAGGTCAGAGTTCAGGAAATAAAGGTTACTCTGCTTACCTCAAGCACTTGCTGGAGGCTCGGCTGCCCATCCACCATGCCTTGAATAATCCCAGTCAGCTGAAATGAGAGACAAACAGAGAGCAGCCATCAGAGCAGCACTCAAAAGATCATTAGAAAGGTCTCCTCTGCTGTCCATCTCCCTGCAACCAAAACATGCTCCTGTGACCTGCGTGGGTGCTGTCGAGGGATCAGCCATAGCAGAGCCACGGGCAAGGGCAGAGCTCCATCCCAAACACAGGAAAGTACGGGGCTCCTGCCCACCCCCCCACATAACAATGAACTCCCAATGGGGCTGGAGGCACTCGGGGAGCAGCAGTGCCACTGCACGGCCTGACATAGTGTCCCAGAGCTGCCCTTTCCCAGTTATTCCTGTTCTGATGAGCTCTACTGGGGGCTCTGGGCACGCCCCTGGTACTGGGATGAGACCGCACTATCACTCAGTGGGAGCTGCTCAGAATCCATTCATTCCCTGTGCTGGGCAGTAAAGCATTGCAGCAGGATGGCTTGGCTGCTGAAGGGTAGGCACATGCACAGAGAGATGTGGTCTCATGGGCCCCCACCTGTGATAGCTTGAGGCACACAGAAAGCAGATAATTTTTCTGTCTGTCTTCCAACTGACAAAACCGTCTTTTAACATATTGAATATTGGAGGTCAGTAGCTTGCCATCAATGCACCCAAGTAATTAAAAAAATCATTACTATAACAAGTGCACACTCCAGTATTTCCCTTCATCTGGCACTTTGCAGGAGACCAGCATGGCCTCCTGCACAGATCGTCTCAGCATAAACCACAAGGCTCTGCTACAACATGGCAGCTGGCAGCAGCTCTGCTGCTTTACTTCTCTGTTCCATTGGCTGCTTGGTTTACAGCACTGAACTCAGAAGAAGGGGAACAAGAAAAAAAAAACAAAAAAAAACCTTCAATTAAACTGTAATTGCATTTAATGAATACCAAATACCTGACTCGCTGAATAAGCTGCAAGTGAAAAGATTATTTTCTCATCGTGACTTCCGTGGAACGGTAATATATAGCTTTTAGGGAAAGTATTCTAATTTTAAGAATGCAGAGCTCCTCTAGGTGGGTTTCTCAAGTTCATCAAGTCATTATAAGGTGGAATTTTAAGGAAGTGTAAGGACACAGGCACTCATATCCTAGAAACTGTTTTCATATTAATCTGTATTTTAATTGTATAACAGCTGCTGCCTGCAGACTCCCCATATTCTAAGAGGCAAATAGATTTAGGAGATTAACATGCAGCTCTTCAAAGTGGTTTTGAAAGCACACTGGCTGGCTTCTTCCCCTCCTCGCTGCCTCTCCCCACACATCTGCCTGGCACAGGAGGACAGAGCCAGCCTGACCGCAGGCAGTGCCTGAAGGATAGGTACAATTCATCACCAAAGGAACTGCTCAAAGGGGACCAGCTTTCTGCTCTCCCATCTTTTGCCATCTCGTCTGGTCTCAGTTACATACATCACCTGCAACACCCACCCAGGTGCATTGGCTTTCTGCAGTATTATCTGATCTCACGCTTCTGATAAAATATAAAAACATCAAATTGCACCACTGTAAAGTTTCACTGGCGATTCCAAGAAGCACATGGTATTTGGGAACATAAACAAGCGATAAGGCATTTATCTTTCTGTACTTTTATTGTCTGTTCCTTCAGGAAAAAAAAAAATCAATAAAAATTAATCGTAAAAAGAGAGCAAAGTACCATGAAAAAGCCTGAACAAGCGCCTCATGTGTAGAGGGATCCTGTCATTTCAGCTCCTGGTATGAGCTTTCCTGGGTATCAAACCACCTGTATCTTTCAAAAGGGCAGGAGGAGCTTTTTCTCCCTACTTTTTCTGCCTGACACCAGAACCAAGCCTTATAGTTTGTGTCCTGCCAAGAAATATGGAATCAGAGCAGGGCAACAGAAGAAAGCAGCTTGGAAGGCATGCTCCCAGCAGTGGTGTGGGAGGTTGGAGGAACCTTCTGAAGCCGGGGTTCAGCTCAGCCACCGCAAAACCTAAGCAGAGAGATGCCCTGAAGGTGACTGCAAGCCCTTTGTCCTTGCAGACACCCTTTTCATGTTGCTTTCTTCAGCAAGAGGAGTGCGAGAGATGCTCCAGACCAGAAGAATAACGTTGGGTGGCCCTGCTGAGCCTCACACACACACTCCTTACTGAGCAGTGCGATCACCTTCTGGCAAAGCAATGGATAGGGAAAAGGAAAGCAGAAGCAGGGCAGTCAGGTTCCCGTGCAGTGTCAACACTGCTGCTTTTGCACCAGAGTTTATCAGAGAAACCATCGTATTTCTACTCTAAGACAGTTTGCTGATTACCTAAACACTTGTCTCTGGTGTACAATCTGATAATCAGGCCTGGTCTTTCTTTGTAGACAAAGAGGCCAATAAATCTCACCCTTTGTAAGTAGAGGTGCCTAGACAAAGCCCTTTACTGGCATTTAGCAAAATGGATATTTTTCAGGCAACAAAAACCAGCTCAAAGCTGATGGTGAACGCTGGACCTGTGCAGGCAGGGGCTGAGCTGGAATGGCATATACATCACAGCTGGGGCTGCTCCTGGGGCTGCTTATGTCTCCCAAACCCCAAGTGTCTCTATAGGGCCTCTGCAAAAAGCAGTGCAAGAGATAAATGTATTGGGGTGGGGAAAGTTGCAACAGAGGAATTGCTAGGAAAGGGAATGTCAGTAGGAGCAAATAAGTGAGATGACTTCTCTAGAAATTCAATGACACACAGCACTTACATTCCAGGCCTTACTCTAGAAGGGAACATTGCTCTTAGGTGCAAACTGTGAGATCTATCACAGCAGACATCTGCCTCAGCATACGTCCAGCAAGTCTCCTGTGCATTGTGGCAGCCCAAGTAGTTGTCCAGCCTTATCATGTTAAAGTTGCAAAAACACCTCCAATTTAGCTATAAATGTGTGAAAACAGGGCCTTCTGAAAGCCCTTCTCCTGGGAATAATGTTCTCTGAGCTTAGTTTTTATTTATTTTTTTGCCTCTTTTAGTTTAAATAAAATACCTTTGGCTGGTTTTTAGCTACAGGAGAAAGAAAAAAAGAAGTGTGTGTGTATGCATATGTTTTAACAACATGCAAATATGGCTGGCTGGTCTTAACCACAGCTCCACTTAACAGACAGGAGTCACTTGGAAACAGACACTACATGTAGGATAAGCTTGTCAAAGGAGAATGCAGTCAAAGAGAATGGAGAAAATACCACAGTGCCAATGGTGCTGGATGACAACAGGAGGGAACAAAAAGCCTGGATACCCTAAGCCCACAGTCAGTGCTTTAGTTGCTGACCTGGATAACATTAAAACAGTAGAGGAACAGAAAAAAAATCCAAAGCAAAAAGAACTTAAAAACTTCTGTGTTGATGCTCTCTGCGACCTCTCCCATCAACATTCAGAACAGCAAGATCCCAAAGAGTTTACATGGAGGCTGCCAGTGTTTTGTAGATTACACAACACAACAGCAATGCTTTTGTTTTGTGGTCACCTAGGAATACGTTCATTAGTTTAAACAGAACCATTGTCAGCTACCAGGTCATAACTGAATGATCACAACTCACGAACCCAAAGAGAGACCTCTACACGCTGCTACAAAGACATAAGAAGATCCCCTTCTTGTCCTCAATTGTCCTCAACATGAGGCAGGACGCTGTGAGCAGGGGGCCCCAACCCTGGTGCAATGAAAACCTGCTCCCCTTGGGACTCAGAGAACCAGGGAACCTTTGCACTTTACCTCTGTACAGAAGGGCGTAAGCTGGGGATGCACCACAGGCTGAACATACATGTGAAAGGTGGATTCAATTTCCATCGTCCTTCCATTCAGCTTCAGGATAGGGAATTCGATGATCTCCTGAACGGGGCGAGAAGGAGAGAAACTGTTCATGTAAACCAAATAAACAGAACCCCCAAATTTAGCCAAGCCCAACATGAAGCTCCATGCTAGGGTACAGGAGCCCAGGAGAGGTGAAATCAAAGTCACAAGGAACACTGCAGTGGGAGGAGAGGGACTGGAGCCCCCCCAAACCACTGCCATAGAACACAGCGCAGCAGCATCCCCTGCTTCATTTTCCTCTTTGCAGACAACTTATGCTGATAGGGAAATAAAACCGTTCTTCATCAGAAGAACGTTCAATTATTTGAATAATCAACAATCAAAAATTTACATGGACCTGTTAATAAAAAGTTTAAACAAATCCCGTTACGATGGATTTCACAATTATTAAAAAATATACATGAAATTAAAAAAGCCAACCGCCGAATAAAAGCGATAAAATCCTTTGTGTTTGCAGCCCTCCTTCTTCACTCCCTCTCTTCCTTCCAGTTTAATGCAAGAGGAGAAGCGACAATTTGTTTGGTGTCTTTAAAGAATAATTTGTCTATGTTATTTAATAGAGATGCATGGCACCGAGGTTCTGGAGTGCAAATGAGCCTGCTGAGTGATATCCACGCACCGAGCCTCTCAAATCACTTCTGGGGAGAAACGGAGAGGGGGAGAGAGAATAAAAAAAAATATTGCTTTTTAATATTCAAAAACAGTTTGCAAAATTTAATCAAAGCAGAGCAAAAGCTAACATTTTTACCACTTTGACATTTTTATTAGCGCTTTCATAAATTTTTAAAACATGAATGGAATTAGTTTAACAACAACGAAAAAAAAAACCTGCCTGAAAACATCTGGAAGAGACAAATAAGAAATAACACCAAAAAAAATTATATATATATATATACATATATATATACATATACACATAAAAAACTCCTGTGAGTAAAATTAGCATGTAGAAGTGCAGTCACTGCAGAGGAACTAACACCAGTTTGGACCCTGACTGCAACCCCTGTGACCTGCAGAGGGAAATTAATGTGAGGTCATACGTGTGAGTTGATGACATCATGATGCAGCAGTGGGTGGGTAAATGGAAACAGCAAATAATGTAAATAGAGGAAACACCCAGTGTATCCCCGGGAGGAGAGGTATCTGGCCCTAAGCAGGATGTGCTGTGGGGGGCACGTGCCTGTAGGTTGGAGAAATGAATGGAACCAAGTGTATGCAGTGCTGAGTGCACAGAGGGAGGCAGCGGGCGGTCAGACAGCCTCACAGGGGCAGCTGTGCGCACAGAGGAGCTTTGGGAGCATCTCTCCCTGTGCTGTGCTACCCACTAAAGGGTCGGGAGGACCCAAGGATCCCACTGCTGAGAAGGGACAGAGAGGAAGACGCAGAGAGAAAAGGGCTGAGCGCTGCCTGGCCGCAGCCAAAGGCACTGGCCACAGCCATGTGGCATCCCCCATTGAACTGGAGAAAGTGAGGCTAGATGAAGACACAGCTGAATGGGGCAATGGAGCACCCACAGAGTGTCCCTAACAGCCATGGCGTGGTGGGATGCACAAAGGCACTGCCTTCCAGCGCTGACAGCAGGAAGCACTGCCAGGAGGGTCATGTTAAAATAGGCTGAGGAAATAAAAACTAAATGCTACTAAAAACGTGGAAAATTTAACAACATCCAGCGTTAGCACAGGTCTGGGGAAGCACACAGCCAGGCAGTCGGGGTGGGACCTGCAGAGCAACTCCAGCTTGAGAGAACGAGCAGCAGCTCTTCAGGGCTTATTCGGTGCGTTTTTAAGCAAGTGGTAAAGGACTGTTCCCCAAAGGCTGTTTATCTGCACGCTTCCTATAGTGGAGATTTTTCCAGGCTCTGGCAGTGTTTGCTCCGTCGGTATCTAAGGCAACAGATCCCGGCCCCATGAAATCAGCCCCACTCCTCAGTAACAACGTTAGCCAGTCCTGCAATGAAATTTAACCTGTGACACTGCTGTACTTTTCATTTAAACTTTCATTTGGAGAGAAGCAGTGTTCGGAGACCCTGCAGTTTGTCCTGCTAATAAAGACAAGTGTTGGGACCTTTAAAGGTGCCATTCATCTTTTGCCTTTATTAAATTCAATTTTCTTAAGCCCATGATACATCATGAAATTAAGAGTTGACATTCCTGCAGAAACAAAAATATCTATCAAACATAAACAGAAAGGGAAAGAAAAAGGAGGCCTCTATTACCAAGAATTTATGGCTTCAAGTTGATCTGTTGCCACTTTTCTCCCGTCCTCTCTTTTTTTTTTTAACAAGCATATGGTTTGTTTTAGATATCCAAAATGTTATTACAGATCTACGATTTCATTAGTAATTATGATGAAATGGTGAGCCCTAACACATACACACACACCTCCCAGCAGCCTGGTAACCTCCATCCCTACACCCAGTGCTTTGGCCAGGTGAGAAAAGGAACAGAGAGCAGCACAGGGAACCTAAGGCAGAGCCTCGCTGACATCCCCTCTCCCTCCCATCACTTTGACCATCCCCGTCTGCCTCACGCATTACCATTTCCACCACCCAGCACCCTGCTTGTGCTGCAGCAATGCCGGGGGGGGCCCACAGCCACGAGCTCCCAGCAGAACAAATGCCCCCATTTGAATTCTGCGAGCGCCGCAATTAAGGGCTATTATTTACCACTGCGAAGTAACTTGAAAGGAAATCCGGGATTCAAACCGCCGGCAATAAATAAGCAGCTTTTTATTTTCCTTCCCGCGCGGTGAAAAGTTGAATATGGTTTGTGTGGGGAAATTCTGCGTGCGGCGCCCAATTACGGGCATTTGCATTTATATTGTTAGAACACAGCGCTTCCAAAATCAATACTAACGCGCTTACAGAGACACGGGCACCCTGTCCCTCCCTCTGCTGCTCCCCAAACTCTGCAACAATAGAACCTGCAGCGCCGCAGGCTTACACGGATCCATTACCCAGCCCGCACTCTTTACAACAACCTTGCCTTTATGATTTCGTGGTAATTCAAACAAATCTATGTGACAGCTGGCTCGGATTTGCCTTGTTTCTTTAAACATTCCCTGAGAAGAGGTGCTGGGTGCCAGCAGCGCGGCCGGGCCGTCCGCAGGGCACTACCAGCAGTGCTGGACTTCCCTTTCAAAGGGATCTGAAAAATTCATGAGGCCATGCAGAACCAGTGCCGTAAAACCAGCCTCTCCCTGCCCGGCCGCCTTAAATACAGCTCCCATCCCTGCTGCACCACAGCACAGAGGGCAAGATGCAGCTCTCTCAATTTTCTCGACAACTAAAGCTTTGCACAAGCAGGCAACTACACCTGCTCAGCATCTCCTTAAAGCAACGACACCTCAGCAAAGAAAGCTGCCCTCATCCCACAGCAGAACTTTTGCAAAGAAAGCTGCCCTCATCCCACAGCAGAACTTTTGCAAAGAAAGCTGCCCTCATCCCACAGCAAAACTTTTGCAAAGAAAGCTGCCCTCATCCCACAGCAGAACTTTTGCTCACTGCTTTGATCCAGCAGGACTCGCACACACTCTGTGCCCTGCTGATCTCCCTGGGCCTCAAAGCCCTCTAACCCACGTCAGCTGAGGACAGGACATACTCTGGGACGCTGATTTATTTATTTGAGGAAGACTGTATGGACAATTCCATCCTAAAACTACCAGGGAATAATTTATCCCTTATACCCACCCCCATCTGTGAAGAAGTTTAATAAACACAAGAATAAAAGATGCCCATAAAAATCAGAGCCTACTATTCAAAACGCAATAAAAACAAGCAGATGTCTTTGAGAGAAGAGGATTTTTTCCGGTAGGGAAAAGCATAAAACATCCTCCCAAAGACCACACTACACCTCCAAAGAGGTGCAGGCAGGACAGACGAGGGGGTCCCACGGAGGGGACGCAGGCTCAGCACAGCTCATTTCCTTCAGCCATTTTTTTCTGGTCCCCTCTTGAAAAACAAAAAGTCGTTTTATGCACAAGAAGCTTATTTCTTAAACAAACACTCGTGGTTTTGATTTACACCACGGGCTGCTCCTAAATAATTTATGGCGGGTTAAATTTATTGCACAGCCCTGGCCGGCTGCAAATTCGAATTGCCAAATAATTAGATTTTAGGGCAATGCTTATAAATTATCCGCCGATTTGTCCGGACTTGTTTGTCAGTTGCTTTGTGCTTCGGGTCATCTTTGGCATTTCGCTGTTTGTGTTTTAATTGCTGATTTACACTTTGACAGATGAGAGTTGATGCCTCCAAGATCTGGGTGGGTGCAGGGGGGTGGCGAGGAGCAGGAAGAAGCAGAGCTTTTAAAGGCCTGCGATTCTACTTTTTTTTTTTTTCCAAGGCAATTAAAATGGAAAAGGGACACGGTAAGGACAGCACTATCCTTAACAGGTCTGCATCCACCGATTCCATCCTCTGCCTTAATTATTATTTTAACTAAAGCCCTTTCCAAGTGAGCAGCCTTGCACTTGTCCGCAGGGGCAGTAGTTGAAATGACCTCAGAGGTCTCTTCCCTGCTTCTAAATCTCCATTGAACTGACCAAAGCAAGTGCCACAAAGGTGATGGGGGACAGCGAGGCTTCCGCTGGACCAAGGCTGTGCTGACTTCCCAAGGATGCTGACCGAAAATCAAAACACGGGGGCACATGCAGGAGCATGGATCATGAAGCACCAGGAGATGTGAGGGCAGCTTCTGCTCCCTGATCATTGGATATATCCAAAGTTTTTTTCCCCTCTCCTTTGTTCTTAGGGTAACCTCACCTTCTACCTCCAACGTTCAGGCAGCGGACCCTGATACCAAAATGTGGGTTTCCTCAGCTTGGAGCAATCTTTCAAGTCCTCTGCTGACACCAAACCCAGCTCAGATTTGCAGGTGCTTCCTTACAACTGTGAGGGTGAGGGACCATTTCTCTTTCTTTAATAGAAGCTGAAATTTCCATCTAATCACATGCCTCCAGGAGCTTGGGCTTTAAGAGACATCCAGTCCGTGCACCTGCCCGAAGCCATCAGCATCTGC